TCAGAAGTGAGAAGGATGCAGTTACATGCTTATTATTGTTTATCCGTATTATGATACTGCCTAAGTTCTTTAGTGACTGAGGTTTCCACTGTGCCAGGCAGGGTACTGAACGTGATTCCTGCCCACAAAGAACCTCCATCCCAAATTTAAGGCAGGAGAGCGGCAGAGGATCCAGACAGGCGGAGGAGTGCATGAGACAGTAAGGCAGTATCGATCAGCAATATAACCAGAGGTCTCAGCAAACCTCCTGCTGTAACCACTGCAATGCATCTAGTTTACTGCCATTATCGTTGCAATTACTCTTTATTTTTTGCAACACAAGGTTAATAATCTAACTGTATGGGTTACCTACTCTTTATTTCATTTGTTGTACTGTTTAGCAGTTATAATCTGCAGCAATTTTGTATTATAAAGGACTAATTAACAGCAAGATTATTTTTCCACTGAACGTCATAGAATTTTTTTGCCAGGGACAACAGTGTTCCTATACCTTAATTCCTCAGCAAAGTTTTTATTCTGGCCCATGTTCTGAAACTGGTGAGCTGACTTGCCAGAGACATTGCACTCACTATGTTACGTCATCAGGCAAAAGTTTTAATTCAGAACAAGGTAGCGTGAGGTGAAGATAGAGTACATATTCCTCAATTATCTGTGTGTTGACAAGCTTACTAGAAGATGTTTCATTTACTGTGTTTGTGAGTGTGTAGTATTTCAGGTTACTTAGTTAAAATTTAGAAGCAAATCAAAAAAAGCAAGAAGCAGAGCTTGCAAGAATGGCAGGTATGGAAACCATACAAAACCTTGCTATAAACCCCATCCTGCTACCTCTGAAGCCAATAAGGGATCTTGCACCTGCTTTTGTTTCATACCATTAATTTCTTAGTTTTTTCCTTTTTTTTTCTTTTTCTTTTTTTTTTTTCTGATTTACACTGGCATAACTGAGAGGAGAGCTCAGTCTTCTGTCTGCAGCCGTGGCCCAGTGTCACCTGCTTCAGCAAGGGCCCTCGCATACAGCGCATGTCTCTGGAATGTATATATTCCAGTATAATACACCTAGGTTTTGTTGTTATTGCACAAAAGCGGCAACTCCGTGTTGAAAAGGACTAAAAGGCCCACCATGACCATCCCTCTATTGATCCTTCAGAGATTTTGGTCCAGGATGTATAGCTTTTATTAAATAATACCAATACTTGACAAGTGATGTCTATATTGTCCTTTCATTTAGCAATATAGACATGGCTATTAGAAAAAAAAAAAAGAAGTTGTGGGTGATGAGTTTTTGTTTCAAGAAGCTATTATATTATTCTAATGTGGCCACCATGCTGGCAGACTGTTGGCAGGTTTCACATAAACATGCCAGAAATAATTTTGTTGACAGCATCTTGGATTGGAGCACATCCAGCCTTCATCCATAACATGTCAGTACAGTGATTCTTTCACAGGCAGGAAAATATGTCATCACAGATCTGTATTTTAGTCTTAAAATACTGTAGATGTCTGGATTTACGGCTTCAAAGTCAACTTCACAGGTTGGTAGCATTATTTTGCAATCATAAATGAAGATGAAAGTGATAACATTTACAGTTTTTAATATGCAGCATCAATGAAGTGTGCTTATGTTAAAACCTGTGGTAACATCTGTTTTACTTTCCTAATCCAAAATCAATTAAGGTTTTATGTAAGAGAAAGAAGGGGGTGGAAAACAAACAGCAAAGGAAAAAAGGAGAAAAAACAGGCTGAAGGGCTGGAGCTTGCTTGCAGAGGTCATGCAGGCGTTGTGTTAGTTCTTCATGAGAAGCAGAGAGCAGGTGACTCCTACCGATGAGTGACTTTGTTTTAATGTTTCCTTTTATGCTGTTTTCAGTAGAATCATTTCGTCAGAGCAGAAATTGCGCGTGCTTGGTTTATTTCCATATGCTCAGATTTCAGTATTAAAACCAAAGTGGTATCTTTAGGATTAACAGCCATGGTTCACAAAAGGTATCTGCTTGCTGGTTGGTTTAGATCTCTGTGTTTACATCTGCAAGCTGGGATCTTTCAGGAATGGGCAAATTATAGCTTTGTGCTGTGCATTGGAAACAAACCCTTTGAGGTGCCACTTCAAGAATATTATTTATGTGCTTGAATCTGTACCTGCCTAAGGCTTAATTAGACACCTCCTGGCTTTGGTGCCAAGCACAGAAGCTTTCCTGAGCAATGTGAATAGGCAGCTGATGTCCGCTTGTGGGAACTCCTGTTGAAGAGGTGGGAGTTTGCTGCCAAAGGCATGGGGTATCGTGGACCAGTGGTGAGGCTGTAATCTCCTGGAAGTAAAAGCTGGTCACAGTGACACAGCAGCATCCCTTGGAATTAACAGAAATACAGATAGGAAAGATCTAAGACGTCGGTGGTAGCATATATACGGTACGATGTGTGTGCAGCAGATTTACTGTAAGTGATTCCATCGAAAGAGACTTCAGATGACCAAGAAGAATAAAAAAGCTGCTTTCCAAACCTGTGCTGAATAGAACTGTTCACCTTTCTTTGAAATGTCATTTATCTCTTCTTGCTTTTTATCAGGGCAAATTTCCTGATGGAGTTTTGAAAATAAAGTGAAAACGTTCCTTTCTGCTTCCTTGCAGTGCATTAAACCCCAAAGTTTTGCTTATGAATAGCTTTCCTCCTCTTGATACACTAGAAATTCCCAGTCTTTTTTGTTGTGATTTTGCTCAAATATTGATTGGATGACTGAAGAATTAATGGGATTATGGTGTGATAATAGATTCAGTGGAAGTATTGATATACTGAAAGCTTAAGCACGTTTGTGGATTTCTATCACACTGGGACCCATTGATGGGGAAACCTCACTTAATGCGAGGTTTTATTAAGCTTTTGAACTACATCTGGGTTTGTAGATCTAATTCAAGTCTGTGAACTACTTTTTTCAATTTTAAAACTTCTGACCATTAGGGGGGGAGAGGGTTGTTAGATTATTTTCAGGAATGTGACTGTTGCCATCAGTCCTGTAGTGCTGCCTGCGTCTTACCTCTGTCCTTCGGATACCGTTAGGGCTTGGCTGGGTAGAAGCACCGTGGTTTCTCAGCTGCTTCTCCTCAGTTCTCCTGTCATCCCTTTAGGTCCCACTGTGCCCTGCTGTGAACGGAAGAATATTTCTGCCACTTACTAACAAGACCTGGATTCTTTTCCTGGCTTTATTTCTCAATTTGTATGTGACCCTGGGAAAGTCACAGACTCTCTTTTGAGCCTATTTGCATCACCTAAAAAATGGGGACCATAACAGTTTCCTAAAAAAGGTGTTAGAAGACTAAATTAACATTTGTATTCGTGCTTAGGGTGAAGACGCTATAAAAATGCAAGTATTTGTATTCTTTCTGTTTGCTTGTTGGCGAAATTGCATTTCTCAAGGCTCCTGACCTACTTTTCAGATTTTTCTTTGGTAAGAATAATAAACTATAAATTTGTTCCTTCTAATTATTTTTCATTTCCAATAGAAAGCCAAGTGCAAATGAGGGAAGACAAGAAGGGGAGGGGTGCTAACCTCTACCCTTCTTTGCCAGAAGGAAGAGAACCATTGTGTCTTTTCCAGAAGTAGAATAAACAATGAAATACAGATGCTAACTCAGGTGTTTAATGCCTCAAACCTGGCTTTACATTGCAGATTTATAGCCTTTGTAATGGATAGATCCCCAAACATATAGGAAGAAAGTCTCAACATTATCTTTTTCTGTGAAATGGATTCTTGATATGGGAAAAGTTGAAAAATATTTTCTAGTGTTTTCTGAAATCAAAACTGTGAGGTTTGCCTGACCTCCCAGTTCAGACCATGTTGCTCTGTATGACAAAGTTATCGTAAATGAAACAAACTCTCTGAATTACAGAAGAACTTAGTCTATTATGAAGCTTTTTATTTTCCTGAAGAAAGGAAGAAAGAAGAATCTTTAAAGAAGTACCAGCAGGTCTGCCTTAGACCCACGATCCCTCATAATAAAGGAAATGAGGCAAAAAATCTAAACTGGTGAGGTTGACAAGGAGGAGGAGCATCCAGAGTCATTCTGGCTGTGAGGCCAGATCCCTTGATTGAATTCAGCCTGCCAGGAAAGTGGAGTGCACTGATATTTCATACAGTTCCTGGGGATGCTTCAATGCGTGCATGAAATGCGTGCATGAAATCACATTTAATGCACAGTGCTAAGGGGAATCTGGCAAAAAGTATGAAGGGGATACAGTGCAGTAAATATTTAAGATCTTGTGAATGCGAACACAGCACTTCATAAAAACCTCAGTCTCGAGAGCAGGGGTGCTGTATACATCATAGACAGAACATATGGTACAACCGCAGTGAAGTCAAAGCTAATCAGTGAATAGTGATGGCGCTTTTATTCTAAAGTTTTAAGGACGTGATTAAATTTAATGTATATGCTAGATGTGAAGCCGATCTTCATGTCCTTAGACCTACCAACCTAGGAATGCATGCAAGATGGCCTGCGAGATGTGATGTTTTCTGGGAAGGCAGAAAAGTTCACCATGGGGATATCCTTATTGATTTTTATCTCCGTACATGCCCCTGTGAATTATTTATCTTCCTGTATTCTTCTCTGGCATCTTATTGTAAAAGTCTCTTGAAAGTTACTGTAAAGCTCTTTATTCCCAGACTTAATGAGGGTTGGTAGGAAATTGGCTTTTGATAAGTGAGTTTGGATGAGTGCTGGTGTGGGCCGCTGGTGTCCGTTATGCGAGGAGGCGGTGGGAAGTGTGGGATGCTACTGAGCATCCTATGGGTGCATTGCATTTATTCATTGTATACTCTGACTTGGGACGGATTCAAATGTACTGCAATGTATTATAATGGCATGAATTGTATTTGGCTTATGGGCTTCACCCACCATGGTTGCGGGGTGCATGGTGTGGTTCTGCGGACATACGTTGCTGTTTGGATTCTGTTGTTTGTTCCCTTGTCTAAGTGCCTTTTCTAAATGTTCGTTTTCCTTTGATGTTTCTAGGAGCTGGTGGGGAGTAATCCTCCTCAAAGAAACTGGAAAGGAATTGCAATTGCCTTGCTTGTTATTCTTGTTATCTGCTCTCTGATTGTCACCTCTGTTATACTCCTGACACCAGGTATTTATAACCTTTAGCTCACTTCCATTCTGTTTTTCTTCTGTAATTTTACATTTCCAAGGGTAAAGGGATTGCAAACTGACTGCAAAATCAACATCAAAAGAATTATCCTTCCTGTTCTTTAGCTTGATGTGAGCTGAGTTCAAGGCCATTCTTAGACAGATTGTTTTAGAGTTTTATATTTCTATTCAAAGATCAGGGCTGCTGAGCTGAAGGTACAAGGGTGAAACTTGGTTGGCTAAACATAGATGGGAAGTGTCATTTAGATGTGCCAGGCTATGAGAGACATCTACATACGGCAGTCAGGACACAGGACTTCCTGAAGTTCATGCCCACATGGAGCAGCAGCCACTAGTCGGGTGGCATATCCTAGAGCATCTAAAATGGCATTAGATGCCATTAGATGCCTGCTTAGGCATCTAAATCCCATCCCGTTCAGCTGTATTGATTTTTAAATCAGACCATAGTGTTCCAGCTTTACAAAGGAATTCCAAATAACTATGTGCCAGATAGCACTTAAGCACAGCAAATAATAATGAGTAACTCCCCAATAAGAGATTCTTTAAATTAATCCCCTTACCAAGTTTCAACAAAGTTCTGTGCATGTAGCCTCTGTAAATTACTTCTCTTACAGTAGCTGCTGAGGTGGTAGGCTTGAATTTTAATGTATATCATTATGATTATTGATTATTACATATTTATTCAGCCCTGTAAATTTCCATGACTACTTACGGAGTAGAAATAATGTGCTTTTGCGGCTCTGAGAAGCTTGTGATCTGAATATGAAAAGACAAATGAATGAGAGACGAGACATAGAAAAGAGAATTCAGTGTCAGAAAGGGTGAGCAGCTACAAAATACAGGTGAAGGCAGAAGGTTCCCTGCAGAGGGACGTAGAGGAGAAGAAAAGGGGCTCCTTCTTGGATGAGTACATGAGAGTGACTCTAGGGGACAGCAGGACAGAGAGCACAGAGCTGAGGAGGGGAACAGAGGCAGGGCAGAAATGAAACGGTAGGAAATGGAAGAACGCAAGACAGTGACGTGGAAAAATGAGATGGAAGTTGTGGGGCAGACATTTCTAGCTCGTAGCGTGGGAGCTGACATGCAGTTCAGCAGATCTGGGCCATCTTCCCTGACACAATTCTTATCCCACAGTCCTGCTGTATGGTAGACTGGAGACAGTGATAAATCAAGAAATACAGGACTCCACTGATTTAATTTGAAAATGAGTGAAACAATCACTACGTTATCCTTCTGGTTATTTAGTATCATGCCATGTTCAGTTTATTTCATGTTATCCTGAAGTTTTCAATGTAAATGTAAGTAGCTAATGGTCATGCCAGAGTAATTAAGTAATTAAATTAATTAAGGTTAAACTTAATTAAGGATCATTTTTTAAATTACTTTCGCTAGGGTTCTGATTTAACACCTTTGGACAGTGCAGTTGATCTCTGACATGTTTTGGGGCATGGTCTGTGGACTGTACTTACATCAGGCACCATTTATTTGCAGTGACAAATACCGTCCCTTACCCATTAGGTATGGAAATGTCGCCTTCTATTTTACAGAAGTGCAGTCCCAGACTTTTAAAAAATGCACACGGAAGCCTAGATTCCTAAACCCATACTGTGGGCTTCAAGAAGCTGTCAGTGGCTCGCACTGCATAGATGAGACCATGGGTGCCACTTGCATTGAAGAGCAGGGTTGCACATAGATGGATACATGGGGAGAAGCATAAACATGCCTGTACAGTCCTAAATACAGTCTCAGTCACAAGTCTTTCCTTTTACAAGACCACTTATAATAATGATTTCTTTATAAGGATGGTCAGAATGATATCTGGTGAGGACTTAGCAGCTCTGGTTTCAATTCTGGGGTCTACTACAGACCTCATTTAGGACTTCTGAACCCTACTCCCACCTCTCCATAAGAAAATCATACATAAAATCAGTAATGACTATTACAGCTATAGATACTGCAGTGCTGTTGTCCAAGTAAGTGCCTAGACAGAAAAGGTGTACTGGGCATGTTTGTATGCATACATATGTATACACATAAATCACACAGTTATTAGTATGCCATTAGCAACAACTCCAAATAGCACCTTTGAGAGAGTCTCTGTGCTTAAAACTTAGGAATATGCAAAGTCATTTTCTATGCTAAAGTTTCCATTCATGTTTTTTGAGATTTCTAATTACCTGATTTGCTAAAACTGGGTTTGGGTTGTTTTTTTTTCCCCTGCTGATGTTTCAGAACTGTGTCCTACATGCAAATACAAAAACTCTGAGCTCAATACTGCTTCTGTTTTTATTATGGATCCAGACTGCTTCATGGTGAGACTCTGCCAAGGGTAAAATAGACAGCTTAGGTTGCTGCTGTGGCTTGGCAGCAGCTGAGTTCAGTCTTCTCTTGGGACACGGGCCCTGGAGCGTGTTACGAGGATGCACTATGGTACAGGGTAACAGGAGGCTCATTTCACAGACGTTCCCCACCAGCCAGTGCTAAGTGACACACTGAGGCTGGCTTGACAAACGTAAAAAGTATTACATTGCTAATCCTGAGTGGGGATAGCACGTCCCAACAAGGCAGGAGTGGGAAAGATAGAGGAGCCTGTCCAAAAGGAGAAGCAGATTCTGCATTTACCTGCCATAAAATAGTTCACTGGAAGAAGAAATGTTTACCCTTTGGTAGTCAAGCTGAAAAATAAGTGATGGATATTTGAACAAGAGGAGAGGAAGGGACAGAGGATCGTGAAAGAAGGAGGAGAAGCAGTTTTGTGGATGTTCATGGGATGGGGAGTTGCTGCCAAATGTGAGAATGGCATAAAAAAACAAACAACAAACCTCTTCACTGGAAATGTCTCAAGCAAGGTGATGCAGTCTGGCATGGCAGAGCACAATGCTTGTAAATATTTCAAATTTTTAAAGTCTTCCTTCTGATGATAATGTCGGAGTCCAGCCTGACGCTGTCCTGCTAGTACAAATATCCTTTTGAATTTTATCTCTGAATTCCTTACTTGTACCTGTCTATCTTGGCCCTCTCCCTGGCTGGGAAACCATTCTTCTCTAAGTATTTTGCTGTTGGTTTGAAGGCCTGTTTTGCAGTACAACACCAAGGCACGCAATGCAGAGGTGCTCTAAATCCAGTGCTGAACATCATGCTATGCTATGCTATGCTATGCTATGTTTACAGAGAGTAATTTGGGGCATGTATGGGATAAAGTGCAGCATCCAGGCTTGTAGTCCATGTTCAGACAAAGAAAAGTGGTTAACTGGACCCATAACTTGCATCATGATGGTTGTATTTCCTAATACTGTGAAAGTCGGGGTAGTCTCCTGCAAAACCAAGAATGAGTGGTAGAGTGGGGAATGGGGGAGTTTTGCTTAGCAGAACAGATGCTGATTATGGTATTTAATAACTGAGGAAAAAAAGGATTTCTATATCTCTTCAAGATTCTTTTGCAAATCAGCCCGAACCTTTAAAGAAGGTTTTAACTCTGGATTCAGCTTCAGAAAGGCTGAAATCCCTACTGGTTTGGGTTTCTCAGAGGCAGGTCACTCACCCTGCTTTAAGATTAGCTCATAAACTGGGAACAATGCTCTTTGCATTCAGCAGACATTGTAATTACAATAGCAGTGTTTTATTGCTAGCTAACACTTAGGTCTTATTTTATAAAATCCTAATAAAATTTCAACATTTCTATGATTTGTATATCCTTCGGTATTCTAGAACAACATTCTCAAAAGAAGCAGTAACCGGTGAAGGCTTACATTTCATTACACTACAGTATACTGCATGCACACAACTGCCTACGCTGGAGGACTTTGGTCTCATGCGTGTCTGAGTCCTGCCGTTCCACCCACCTTTGAAAAATGTGAAGCTATTTATACAAATGATAAAGGTGTGGGACTGAGCCTTTCCTAATTGGCGGTTGCTCACTTGTCGCAGCATATGGCAGCTGTATGGCTCCCGTCCTAGCAGTGTTGTGCGTATTTGTATAAACATGTGCAAAAGTTCATAGTTATGCATGTGTGCGCACACACACAATGCCAAAGCTGAAGAGAAGACTCAATCCTACAGAAATTTTGATTAAGCCCACTCCTCCAAAATTCCATTAAACATTTTGCTAAGGAAAAGGCTGCTTTCTAGTCCCCTCTGTTTGGAAATGGAGGCAAACAAGGATGTTTTGCACATCTGGTCCTGATATTTAAAGCTTTCTGGAGATATACATCAAGTTTGCTCCTTTCAAATCTGACTTTTAGCTGAAAAAAAGAAAGTACACCCAACTCCACATTAAAAATTTTACAAAATTCATAGGAAACATTTTTCAGAGATGGTACTGAGGTAGTCATTGCATAGCATTAATTCACAGCATGCTGTCAGACAGCCAAATGCATTGCCTAGTAAGCTTTGTATGACTTTTGCTAGTCGGGAAGAGCAAGGAAATGTCCTGTGACCAGCTGTGCAGGAGCGTAATTTGTTTGTTCACAATTGTTATATATAAGTGTATATTATATGCCATTAAAAAAAATGGGATTTTACAAAAGGGAGAGAGGCTGCCTGTTTGCCTTGTTTGGCCACTGCCTTTTGGATACAGGGAGGTCATCTGGGGGAAAAGGGACTCAGGTTTGCCTGGGGATTGAGCAGGTATGCTGAGGTGGGCAGGGAGCTCCTGGTGTGCTGGATCAGGTCTGCCGAGAGGTGGACATTCATGGACACACACTCACCCATGTGCTTGCAATGCACAATAGGCCAGGAGGTGTGTGAGAAAAGCATCTGACACTGACCTGTAGCTGAGCCCCAGGGATGACGGAAAGAAAAGTGGGCACTCAAAGGTGACTGAAACCTTCTGACCCATCAAGCAGCCTCTGAGCATTGCTGGAGTTGAGAGGAAGCTTAAAAGAAAGGATTGGTACTGCAGAGGCAAAACAGGCAGGGAGGTCAGATGATAGCCCTTTTCTGTTTGATTTTCTGGGTTTCTGGAGGATATTTGTTCTGTTTGTGTTATGGAGAGCAAGGTTTTATCAGTTCAGCCCGTGTCCTTTTGGGTGCACTGACTTCAAGGATGAGGTCCAGACAGATGAACCCAAAAGGTGTGACCAATGCAGGGTTACCATCATGCCTTTAACGCTGAATCAAAAATAAAATGGACATGGTTTTCAGTTGGTTCTCTCAGCATGTAACTTGCTGTTTGGATGGTAGGTTTCTGACTTGGCACTCAAATCACAAGTCCTTGTGCCACCTGCATTGCTGCCATGCTGCAGTGCTGTCAGGTCCTGGTTGGCAGCTGCCATCTGGGTCTGCTGGGGTCAGGGGACATGAGTGCAAAAGAGGTGGTGGCACATGCTTGATCCTCTCCTTTCATAAACCCAAGGAGGCCTCAAGGTCTCTGCAGTTGGGTGTGGACACAACTCGTGTCTGCCAGCTGGCTTAGACACTCTAAGGCATGCTCAGAGACTGCTGCTCAGGAGAGGGTGGACTACCTGAGGTCCTGCAATTACATTTCTCCCTCTGTAAATGTCCCATTGGGCCAGAGAAATGGAGTAGGCATTCTTAATGAGTGCTCTGACTTAGCTATGTGTTAGATGAGAGGTCAGTAAATCTGATTTTTTTTACTAAAAAAATTCATTGATTGATTGATTATTTAGTTATTTGTTTTCTCCCCAGCTCTATGGCTGAGATTAATGTTGTCCATGGTTCATTATAGGACCTATTGCAGCTATTACAGCCCACTGCAGGAGACAGTAAGGAAATCTCAACAAGAAACATGCCTTATGGAGGCTCCTGTTGCTACCTCTCCCTCTTCCTGCTGTCCCTTATGAGGATCTTAAAGTGCTGTGAAGGCATAGAGGTAGTGCAGCTCCCAGACTGGCTGTATCCATCCTGCACAGAGAGAGGGAATGAGAAGGGGCTCCTACTCTTCCCCTTCCCAAATCTCAAGCACAGAGGTTCCTCAGGATGGCACTTGGGAAGCAGCGCCTGAAACAGCTGTAAGCCCAGGGCTGTATGTGGGCTCCAGCCTCCTGCACTGCATCGCCTGATCTCCCTGGGTATCCAGAGCTGGGACCTTGCACCATGGTGGGAACTAACTGGAACAGTTCTCTGGAGTTCCTCTGACCTATATTTTCCATTTTAATAACTAAAATTATGCAGAAGAACTTGGCATAATGCTGTCACACAGAGGGATTTGGCTGAGGACTTGTATTAATGTGTCTTGGTATTTGGAAGCCACATCGAGCAGTGTGATTGAAACCTCAATCAGACTGGGAAAAAATATGAAAATTGAAGAATATAATTTAATTTGGTAAAAATGATAGTTTATATTGAAACACCTTTTAGTGCAACAAAACATTGTTCATAAGTAATTTTCAGTGGTCTCGGTAGCTCAGGGGCTTCAATTTAGTATAGTAAAGCAGACTTTTTCTCTCTAAGGGCTTCAGAGAGTCTGTTTCCACTGTTCCTAATCACCAGTGTGTTCAGTGTAACAAGTTTAGTACTAAAAAATGTTAAAGATAGCTAAGGCTGCATGATACCAATAGACCTCAGGCATGAGGATGCTGTAGTGAGGAGAGATGCTGAAGCACACATACCTGCTGTGGAAATACTCAGAATGTGGCCTCACACGTTCCTTTAAAGACCAGATGTGTTTAAACTGACTGGAAGGTTTCCATGAAAAATTTTTTTCAGCAAAAAATTGAATGTTGGAAACAAATTATTCATAGAAGGTGACTGCTTGTCATAACAAAAAAAAAATTACTGTTGGGAGAAAAAAGAAAAGAAAGAATATGTTAATCAAAGTTGTTGGTTTCAGTTTTTCTCTAAAAACTTCAGCTTTGAGAAAATAAAAATCCATTTTCATATTAACTAAGCACCCGGTATAGGGTTCTGTGATGTAATATATATACTCTTCACCTGTAAGGCCCAAGAATCCATTTATTCAACATAAACACTTCAGTTACAGGCCCAGGAGCCTCTGTGTCGTGTTTATGGGAATTGTTACACAGCGGAGAGGTGGTGATAGAAATGAGAAGGTATAATTTTGGCACAGGAGAAGATGCTCACTGTGGCAAACTTCAAGTGGTTAAATTTGTGCCTTGGTTTTATTGGGTTTGACTCATGCATGTTTGGTCTTGATGGCATCCTAGATGAGACAGATTTCCTTTTAACAATAATATATACGCAGACAGAAATCAGTTCTGCATTTTCTTCAGATTGTGCTTTGCATCAGAAATCTGTTGGCAAGCTCTGACTGAATCATGAGAAATGCGGAGAGGACTGTATGAAGGACAGCGGAGGAAGATGTACAGCGAGTATTTCTTTGTGGGAAAAACGGAGTGCTACAGCATAGGGTTAGGAAGAATGAACTAAATGAAGGACACTTTATTACAGGTTGATCTTACAGCATCTTAAACTGGCAGTCTGGCTCTTCAGTTTAAAAGCTGTCCAGATTTCCATGTTTGCAAATGAAACTGTATATCCTTGCAGTAAAAATGAAAATTAGTATGGGCTAGCTATGCGACACCTAAGGATTTAGGGTTATGTCTCATGGATTTTTCAAAAATATTTCTGCAGTGTCTGATTCTCATGGAAAATCTTTTGTGAATTCCTGAAGTAATCTGTCTGAGACCTCATAAGGCTAAATACCTTTCCAACTGTTGTTCTGCGTGACAGTTTTTAAGGAAATAAAAATATAAACTATAAAAACTTGGTCACTTTTAATTATTTTTTTAAAATTTAACTAATGATATAAGAATAGTCTCAGTGTTAAGTAGCTTTAATTTTCTTTGGAATAGTCAGCATTACATAGCGCTATGACATCTATAAGTGTGTTTTCATGACTTTTAAAATCTTTTTTGATCAGGTTATGTCTGAAAATGTGTGTTTTGGATGATATCTTGGTCTTTTTGTAGTTGCTGAATCCAGGCATAAATAACCAGGAGGTTTCTGCTTGTGAACCACTACGTGGTCCTTTTATAACACTGACAACGGGCAGGGGCTTATGTGTGACAGAAAGCTTAATGTGGGCCGTTTCCGAATGAGATATGACATGGCACTATTCACAGTTGCTGTATTTTCAGATACATTTCAAAATAGAAGTAATGGCAGTTTGTTTTCGAATGTTTTACAGTTGAAGATAACAGCTTGTCTCAGAAGAAGAAGATAACAGTGGAAGATCTCTTCAGTGATGATTTCAAAATTCATGACCCAGAGGCTAAATGGATAACTGGTGAGTGAGGCATGAACGTGTCGCAGTGTATTTGCTTTGCTTCCTCGCTTTCTGGGCATTCTTTATTCCTCCTGTTCTTTATTTTGCTCCTGAAATTGCAGAATCAAGGAGTGGTTGAGGTTGGAAGGGACCTCAAGAGATCATCTTGTCCAACTCCCTGCTCAAGCAAGGGCAGCTAGAGCTAGTTGCCCAGAACCATGCCCAAAAATTCAATCCTCAAATTCCTATTCCAGCTTTCTTCCTGCTAAATATGCAAACACCACTGCTCTGTTGTTATAATTTTTTATTTAAGGCTCTCCAGAGGGCTACTAGCTAGGCACTGAAAACTGCAGCCTTTGTCCCAAAGAGGTTCCAGCATTCAGTAGGTGACGTAGCATGTGGTTGAAAGAAGTGGTTGGAGCACTATCACAGTCATTGTTTTACCATAAACAAAACTTCAGGTTTATATTCCCGGCAGAGAGGTGAAGCATTGCTAAGGAACAGGCAAACAGTGACAGTGGTCCAGCAGCAGCTGGGCTGGTGCTTGCACACAAGCCATGTGCTCTTTTTATCCTCTGCTGCCTTATGTTTTCTAGTCAGGGGAAAACCAAATAATGCTTGAATTAATGCACATAGTATTTGCTGGAGTAGAGCTGTTTTGGGGGATGTAGATTCCAGCTCTCGCTGGAAATTGCTGCAGTCTGAACAAGCTTTGGCAAGAATAAAATGATTTGTGGTATGCCGTTCATGTAGGTTCCAGTCCAACTTCTATTATCACTGAAGTTATTAGGTTTTCTTTTGAATTTAAATGGGGAACTGGATCGAATCCTTCCCTGTGTTTGGCTTTCCTTGTCTGTTATGTACATTGGGAAGAATTTTAATACCTGTAATGAAAAGAGAGAGTGTTAAAGGGTAGTGCTGAATTAACACGTCCCCCAGCCACCCTCAGCACAGCTGTCTCCGACTTCTCCCACCAGTTCAACTACAAGGGAAAGCAATTGCAGACGATATGCACCTTCACAAACACACCTGCCGATGGGCAGGAGCTCTTTTTCAGGTTGCATACTCTGGGGCAATGGTGCTTCCCATAACCACTCTCTGGGCATAAGGATAGTGGAAATATTAGCTGCACTGCAATTCAGAATTATTTTCCTAGCATCCTTTTTTTAGCACTGATATCCCTAATGGCCCTAATGAAGGAAGAGGTGTTTTATTGAGACCTTTACTGCTATTTTCTTTATTTGCTAGAATATGAGGGAATGATAATGAATTAAATAAAATTTTGCAGGAACAGAAAGTGAAGTACTGCCATGGAACTACGTATAACATCCTCCCTCTGATGAGTATAGCTTTACATGGATGTAAAGCATATTTTTCCACAAAACTGCAGTCTTCTGTGAAAAAACAGTATTTCCCATGCTTTTCCAATTACGATCACATACTGGTGCCATATAAAGTTTTATTAAGACTCCAATCTTGAATGTTTTATAATCCATCTCCGTCCTCCCATGTACTCTCACTGACTCCACTGCAATTTACATCAGTCTCACCTGATCTGAAATTACTAAAATATTGTTTCTGTAAAGGGCAAAGAACAAAGTAGTATTGTGCCAACATGCATAGATATTTTAGAAGGACTTGTTCTGTTGCTGTGCTACTAATACCACTGATACTGATAGGAAAATTTATGAAGCCAATAGATATTCTGTAGATTTACCCAAGGGTGACTTTACATTTAAGGGCAAGACGCTAATCTGCAATATGTCATTCATCCAAGGACCCAAAGCCATTTTACAACATTAATTACTTTTCTGCATTATAGTTGCTTTTCACAGCTTTCTGTGGCTGGCTAAGTGGTGAAATCTTGATTAAGGTCCCTGATAAGCAAGATGAAAGACCAGTAGCTCAATTCCCAAGCACACATTGCTAGTGGTCTCTTATTCTCAGTTTTTAGAATGCAAATGAAAGACACTGAATAAGCCAAAGCCAAACTAATAAAACTTAGTATAACAAGAGTGCTGGAATGCCTTAGCAGAAAAATTGCATATTTAAAAATTACATGTTTAAAATTGCATGTCAACTCACAAAATGAGTTGGCGTTTGGTGGGGAATATACACCATTGATAAAATATAGGTAGCTGTTGTCTATCCTTCTTCCCATTCTTCTCCTATTAATCTGCAAAATTCAGTCCTCATGGCTCTTCAGAGCTCTATTTCCTTCCTTTCCCTCTTCATTATTGCAGAAGATGGGAGTTTGGTAGCCTCACCGAAGATGAAGCGTGTTGCATGTTTAGGAGTATTTGAATCTTCTGAGGGGTTTGCTTCCAAAAGAGTTCAGTCAGTAAAATATCTGTGTTCTTCCCAGTAAGTAAGGGGGTGATTCAAACCCTCTGAAGGAGCAAGATCTTTCCTTTGATGTGAATGAGTCTTAAAGCAAGTGTTAAAATTAAAAAAAAAAAATATATATATTTCTGTTCAGGTTGGCACTTAAAAATATGCTGAAAGCTCACTGAAACTGATGGGATGAACTGATGTTTAAGCATTTTCTTGATTTGCAGTGGGCAAGTGGAAAAATAATGTATTTCTGATCGATAGCTCTGTCATTCCATTGATTTCAAAGGAGCTAGGAATGAAAAAAAAAAAGAGAACCAGTCTCAAAGCTGACATAACTACACTTTCAGTGCAAAGATTACAGGCTTTCTCTAAGCTTTCAGTTGCAACTCATGGCTGGTTACTGGATGTGTTTGCATCTTTAATATTGGAATAGCAATTAAATTTACTTGCACGAAGTGAGAGATGTGCCAAAGATGGAACTTTGAACCTCTTACAATTTCTGTGATCCCACTGTAATTTCAAATTCCAGTCTGCGTTTTTATCCAGTGGTTTACGGAGAGTAAAGAATATTTTGTTTAATTAGCTGCTGTCTTCTACTGCCCTGACCATTGTTGTCATTGACTCAGTTAAAAGCGCTCTGGAAGGGAGCAACGCATTCATAGAGCAGAACTGATGGCTCCAGAGTTTATTTCTAGTTCCACTTCCAGGGACTGCTATCAATTAGATTTCCCCTGTAGTGTAAGTAAACACTGGATTTATTGCGGAGGTTCCACTCTTCAGGACAGCATAATATATAGTAGTATAGTATAGTATATGTGGTATACTATAGCAGGTATAAAGCAGTGTAGAACAGGAAGTTTGAGATTGTGCTGGTGACTAAATGGCATCCCCCTGCCCTGCAATCCAAGTGCAAAGAATCCGAGCTGCGTCTCTTTTCCAGCCCCATCCACCCCATGCCTCCTCCTGCGCTCTTCTGCTCATTGCTCGGTGCACCGCACCCTGTGCCGTTCTATTACCGTCCTCTAATGTGAACTTCCCTGTACTGTACAACTATAATTATGTTGTCCATATGCTAAGCATGCATGCGAGCTCCAATTAGCAGCTCATTTCATACTGTGTATCTTAAATGTTGCATTTGGACATTTCCTCATTTACATATCCTCCTCCGTACACCGTCAGGAGTGTCCTGTGCCGGCCTTTCGTTAGCCCTCTCGCGGATGACAGATGGCCCACTCGTTAGTCTAGTCTGTAAATGCTCAGCAGTTCTGCTCTCAAGCTCCACATTACTTTGTAATTAGGCTTCGCAATTACTAAGCTTTTCCTCTAATTCCTCTCACACAGGATTTTAGCTGAGGTTTCTGAAAAGCTCAATGGGATGCTGCAATGTTCCTGTAATGGTGGACAAAAACTGGGATAAAGAAGGGTACCTGCATTTCATGCTGAAGAGCAGCTCAGTCAACTGAGTTTTCAGTTGTCCTGAAAACAATAATTTGTAGTCGTTACCTGGACCTGGTCTGAGAAGCCAGTCGGGTTACGGGTGCTGTCTTTGTGGCCCTACAGAGCTGCAGTGATTCCTATCAGCTGTGAACCTGACTCCCTGTGCTTGGTTCCCTGCCCCTTCGCATCTCGGGAGCGCTCCTCCTTTTTCACGGGGAGGCAGCATCGTGCCCAATGTCAAAGGAAGTGGTGGAGGCTGTACACCACTTGCGGAAACTTATGCTTATCTTCTGTCTTTGTACTTAGTGGCGAATACATTTTGCCCACACTGAAAGTACTTGGCTGCTGTTGTAGTTAGAAAAACATAGTAGCAGCCTATAATATACTGCCCATGGTTATTGCCATTGATTGGATGCAACGTGCTGTCATTACCTACTTGTAAGTAAACATCTTGGAGGATGTTTTTCCAGTCTTGCTGTTGGCATCTTGCAAGACAGAGTGTATGTAGCAGTGGCTGTTGCCAGGATTTTGGGCTGTACGTTAGCAACTGGAGGCTCCAACTAGGAGTGCATCTTCTTTGTGCTAGACACTGGCCAGACATGGTGAGACAGTCCTTGCAGAGAGGTTGTAGCCACATGAAAAGAATAAAGGTTGAAATGAAGATCACGGTATATTCAAGTAGCGAGGAGCACTGAGGCACAGGACACCAAAGGACATGTTCAGGGTCATAGGAAGTTGACTAAAAAAAAAAATCTGAAAATCAAGCCCTGCTCACCGAGGTCCCTGCCCACTTGCTTCACCTGAAACACTGACAAAATAGTATTTATTCTTATCCAAAGAGGAATAGTGGGTAAATTAGCAAACGGCTCTGAACGGCATTTTCAGAAATGGCTCAGTTATTTGGAAACCTGCCACTCAGTGCGAGCCAGAACCACCGTGTGCCTAGCTCGCATCTGAGAACGGCAGCTAGCCTTTTATCTCAAAAGTCCTCCTGAAAAATGCACTAATAACTAATATCTAAATATAATAGAGTAATTCTTTTATCTTTAATACTGAAGCACATATGTTTTATTGCATGTTTTACTAATAACATCATAGAATCTCTAGGCTCTTTTAAAGTCTAATATTGAATTTAATGACCTAGAACTAATAAGTTTCATTTACCATGCTGAAAAAAATCATCGTGTAGTAACTGAGGTAATTTATTTCAGTTTACCTTTAGTAATAATGCTCAGATCAACAATACTTGG